TCAATTCTGGAACTCCACATTCTTGTGTCCTGATTGTTATCAGAATTGTTGCCATCCATCTAACAACACATAATTTATATCTAAACAAATCTGAATTGGATATTAAAAAATAACAATGTAAGAATCATCTACAATTATGTTTTGGTAGGAAAAAAAATTCATCAATTGAAGTTGTTAACAGTGTTGGGAAAAACAAATACAACAAGAAAAAACGGAATATTACTAGGAAAAAAATTCATCAATTGAAGTTGTTAACAGTGTTGGGAAAAACAAATACAATAAGAAAAAACAAAATATTACTAGGAAAAAAATTCATCAATTGAAGTTGTTAACAGTGTTGGGAAAAATAGATACAACAAGAAAAGGCAAAATATTGCATGCAAAAAGTTTGTGAAAGAAGTGTACACAATAAACAATAAGCAGAAGGAGAGCAGAAGAAGAGAAGCATCAAAAGGGGTGAGTGGCAGTCGACCTAGAGGAGAGGGAGATGGACTGGCAGTCGACCGGCCGGAAGACTGGTGGGACTACCAGTTTGACAGATCAGAACCATTTTTGCCTCTCAACTATTATATAGCAGATCGATTAAAGGATTGAAGGATATACAACTAGCAGATCGATTGAAGGATATACATACCAGAGCAATAGAAGTGGAATAGTTGTCACCGGTGACGGAGTGGGTACAGTGAGTGGATGTGCGCTTCTTCAGTAGGCGTCTAATTCGAGAATACGCTTCACAAATTTGGTCTAACACAGATAAATTGGGAATGAATTTGGGAATGTTTGAGGAAATTAGTAAGTTGTAATTCAAAATTTGAGAAAAAATTGTGATTTATTTGACCTCGGTCTTGTCGTTGTTTCGTTGCTCAGAGAGTGAATCTTCCACAACGCACAAACTGCAACTCACTTGATTTGTGGAAGTTGGTGGATGTGATTTTATGGGTGGAGAGGGGGTTCACAGACATGGTTTAGATTTGAAGGTCTCAGTTCATATAATGGAACACGGCTCATGAAGAATCTTGAGCTGTGATCGTTCAAAGAGAGGAAGACGACTCGTGATGTTCGGCTTTAAATATCTTTCCACATGAAGCTTTTCAAAAATGGAAAATATCGAAGACACAGAGTATGTACCTTTGGAAAATTTCACAATGGAGAAACGAAGGGAAAAATCTGTCAAACAGAAAGTGGAGATGTATTTTGAATTATATGGTGGAATTACGATTTTAAAATTGTATCCAAACGTGAAGTGCAAATGGACGGGTGGAAATATATTTTGAGAATACAACCAAACAAAGCCTAAAATTTTTTTTTGGTTTGTCTGGTTGTAAATTTTGAAAATAATTTTGGAGTTTGAGAGTTTGAAATGATTTGATATTTTGTTGTAGTTGAGTAGATATGTGTGAGAGAAATAGTGATTGAGAATGAGAGAGGAGAGAGAAAAAGTGATTGATTGATGTGTAGGAGAGAGAAAGTGATTTTGGAAATTTTTTTAAAAAATTTGAACCAAACAAAATTTTTAAAAAATTTCTCAAAAAATATATCTTAAAATACAAACCAAACAAGCCGATAGTCTTCTCTACCATTTTCTTTCTTTCCTTTCACTCCTCTTCTAATGCTCTGAAACCCCAGGCCCACTTATCACGACTAGCACTTTTTTTCCATTTCCTCTTGCAGTTGCAAGCCCCTCCCCTACCAGACTTGTAAATAAATAAGTCTGCTCAATAAGATCGACCTCTTAAAAAAAAAAAAAAAAAACATTGTTAATTAAACAGGCATTTTTCAATTTTTGATCGTATTGCACCGATCCCAATGTGTTTGAAGGTGGCATGTCTAGGTCAAACACTGACATTTTCCCTCCCTCTTTCTAATCTTGTTGTGTTGTGGTAACATTACATACCTCTCACAGCATTTCATACTGGACACCACCACCATAATTTCATATGTTTTAACTCCATACCCAACAATCTTTCTATTTCTTATTGTCAATAGCTTTGCTTATAGAACAATCACTTCATGCTATCTTTAGTATTTAAGAACCCAAATAGGCAAAAAGTTGGCGGTTATGTGGAAATTTAACTTGAAGCAATTGAATTCGTTGCGTTATGTGGGCATAGAACTATGTCACATCTTTCACAGCGGTTTGAATTCAATTAGCAATGTATCTCAGATTTAAATGTACCTCAGATTTATTAATTGAATAGAAATTTGAGTGGGTTAAGGAAATCGGGTCAAATCGATGAAGCTACTGAGTGTTAGACAAAATGTATGAACAAAACAATTTTACTTGGAATACTATGATTGCTACTTCTACACATTCAATAAGACTTGACAAAGCTAAACAACTCTTTGATGAGACTCCAAAGAAGTGTTCGATCACTTGGTCATCTCTCATTTCAAGGTATTGTCGATATGGGTGCAAAACTGAAGCTTTCTATTTGTTTTGGCAAATGTTGTATGAGCGACAGAAGAAAAGTCAGTTCACAATGCATTCTTCAAATTCCTTGCTTTCAAGAGGGGAACAAATTCATTCTCATGCCATAAAGACCTAATTTGACACGAATGCTTTTGTTAACACTGATCTTGTTGACATGTATGAGAAATGCAGCTACATTGTAGAAGCCCAGTATATTTTTGAAGCAACATCTGATCGGAAAAGCCATGTTTTGTGGGCTGCCATGATTACTAGGTACTCTCAAAGCAACAATGGGCTTAGAGCTATTGAGTGTTTCCGAGACATGCAAGCTGAAAGGGGTAGTATCAAACCAGTATACTTTTCCGAGTGTGTTGGCAGCTTGTGCTGTAGTTTCAGCTCATAGTTTTGGGGCACAAGTGCATGGTCACATGGTTCAGACTGGTTTTGAGGCTAATATGTTTGTTGAAAGTGCTTTGGTTGATATGTATGCAAAATGCGAAGACTTGAATAGTGCTAGGAGAGCTTTAGAGACTATGGGAGGTGACAATGTGGTTTCTTGGAATTCCAGGGTAGTTGGGTGTGTTAGGCAGGGGTTTGAAGAGGAAGCATTGTTATTATTCAAGAAAATGCATGCGAGAGATAAGGGTATTGATGATTTCACATACCCTTTTGTTCTAAATTCTCGTGCTTCCATAAAAGAAATGAAAAATGCAAAATCCGTTCATTGTTTGATTGTCAAAACTAGGTTCGAGGTTTACAAGCTTGTAAGCAATGCTCTTGTCAACGTGTATGCAAAAGGCTAAGACTTGTGTTTTACTTTCGAAGATTTTAACCATGATAGACAGAGATGTAATCTCAAGGACATCCTTGGTCACTGGCTATGTATATAACGGCTCTCATGAAGATGCTCTCAAGTTGTTTTGTGAAATGAGACTTGTAGGGATTGATCCTGATCAAATTCTCATTGTTAGTGTCTTGAGTGCCTGTGCAGAATTGACAGTTCTAGAATTTGGCCAACAATTTCATGCTGGCTTTATGAAATCCGACCTTGAATTGAGCGTATCAGTGGATAAATCCCTTGTCACCATGTATGCAAAATGTGGGTGCATAGAAGATGCTAATAGAGTTTTTAACTAGATGAGAATTCAGGATATTATTACGTGGACTGCTCTTGTCATTGGTTATGCTCAAAATGGTAAGGGAAATGACTCGTTGTAAGTGGCATGAAACCCGACTTCGTTACTTTTATTGGCTTACTATTTGATTGCAGCCATGCAGGCCTTGTAGAACAGGGGCACGAATACTTTGAATCCATGGATAAAGTTTATGGGATAAAACCCAGTCTGGATCACTATGCATGTATAATTGATCTTCTGGGGCGTTTAGAGAAGATGAATGAGGCCAAGGAGTCACTGAATCACATGGATGAGGAACCTGATGCTATTGGCCTAGAGGGCAGCGAAAACTAGATGTCACGATGCAGATCAAAAATCAAGGGGCTGGTAAGGCTTTATTCTGGTGTAGCTAAGAGAATGGATGATACAACACAACTTCTTCAGGTGAAGGTAACTTCATCTTCTTCGTTATCTCTCACGTTGGAAGAAAACTAGGAAGTTTGAGTATTGGATCCGAGCCAGCAGTGGAGTGGTGGCGAAAGAGGCATACTGGTCTGGATGCCAAACCCTCTACGCAATTCACTTGTAAAATTATAGATAGGGACTAGAGAATATTGGTCAATTTCAGACTGCTTTTTCACTATTATTATATGGATTAGAGTTTTTGTTTTAGGTATACCATTAATGTTATGCTTGATTAAGGGATTTAAGAAGATATTTGAAAAAAGAAAGAAAAAAAAGTGTTCAAAATCAAATAAAATATAAATATATTTTATTTATATTTCACCTATAGTTTTTTTTTCTCTTTTCAAATCTCCTAATCAAACACAGTAAAGTAAATTTTTTGAATTAGATCGTCCAAATTACTCTCAACAATTCTTCCATGGATTTCACTTCAATATCAACTGCTAAACAAAATTCATGATTGAGATATTTACCACTGAACAGAAAAATCATAATTCGGCTTATACTATTATGTACTTGATAAGATTTTCATTTTTTGATTAACACCGAGATATCCAGATCAAAACTCGACTAATTTCCAAGAATGCAAAACCCTTGGCCAAGGAATTTTCCACAAGTATTCCACGGTTAATTCAAGATTTGTTCCCCAATTCGATGACTCCAAAAAATTATTAACACCTAAAAAGTTTTAATATCTAAACCTTGAAAGCGACATACCGCCAAGACCCAACGTCTTGCCATTAGAGCAACCCCTTGGGTTTAAATATGTATAAAATATTAACCATTCAATGATGCTACACCAATCTAAAGGGTAAGATCATATACATTATATAAACAAATAACACAATTATGCTCAGATCGGACAAATCTGACTTGAGTTGCAACCCTAAATTTAACTTGCTATACTCCTAATCTGTAACTAGCATTCTACCACAATCACCACTTGAAAACAAATCCATGTTGCAATTCAACTCTGGTCCAACCACAGTAAGATTATGCACATTGGAAAATGAAAAATAGTGAAGTAACAGGCCCGAAATGAAATGGAAACTCAAATTTCTTTGATAACACCAAAAGTGAACAGAGCATACATTGAACGGCATCAATCTAAACCCGTCTGGCACGCCTCGTTTTGTTAGTAGTATCCATTGCAAGTGTGGCCGCATACAAAATGCATATAACTACAACATACAAAAAAAACAAAAAAATCATGACAACTCATCTATAACGGTAGATGAAAAGAACAAAAAAGCCACATGGCCAAGCACATCATGATTCCGTAGCACATTTCTTTGTCAAAGTCTGGCTGCAACCCATAACCCTCCGCGTTTCATCAGAAATATACTGTGGGAGTCCAAAGAATGGTGCCTCATGGAATACTTGGCATAGTGCGGATACCTAAGCATCCAAAAACCCATCTACATTGCCTACAAATACCACCGCTACTTGGCACAATTCATTTCCTCACATGCTCGGGAATAAGACGTTGACGCAATTCAGGCGATGCCCCAGCCAGCTCTGCAAGAAATTTCGGCACGATCAACAAGAGAACCATCAACCACCCCCCCCCCCAAAAAAAAAAAAAAAAAGGAAAATTTAAGTTGACTCACCTTGAGGCGTGAAATTGAAGAGAGGAGGGAGCGGTCTACCATTTGGCAAGCTTGTGGTTGGTTCCCTCAAATCATCAAAGAAAGGATGTGCACATGCCTCCAACTGAAAAAGGTCATAGATTTTGATTAAAAGACAACTTTCAAAACAACATTTTACAATTTTTTTGACAAGTTCAAAAAATTCTATATATAATTCAAAACAAAATGACAATATAATCTATTGATTGCAAAGACAAATCATAAGAAAATATTAACTTACTTATCAATTTGGCTAATGTCTTATTAAAAATATAATATAATAATGCTATATTAGGATATCAGAGGATGACATTACTTGTACATTTCATTTTTCTATGAAAAACATTTGATTCTTCTTATTTTCGCAGTCCAACAAAGCAAAAACTAGTAGTAACATGGCTTCTCTCATTTTGTTTTTCTCTAAATTTTTTGTCCCTTCTTTTTCCTTTCCCTTAACAAATTCAATAACCAAATAGAGCACAAGTACATAAAGCATTCACAAAATCTAGAAGCAAGGCTTCATTTGAAATGGGAGTTGGCTTTTTAACTTTTTGGCTATTTTAACCTGAGGTTAAAATAGCCTCGTTTGGGATGAACTTTTTGACTTTTTTTTATTTTTGTGAGAGAAAAAATGAAATGATTATAGTTTGATTGTGACAATTTTTAACCTGAGGCTAAAAAGCCTATTTTATCTTTTTGTAACTAAAATAGCCCCAACCTAATCCAAACCCTCATGCCAAATGAGCACAAAATAAAAGTAAAAACCATTTATCAAATAAAATATCTCCATGAGAAATTCAAGAACAAATTCAAACAGAAATTTACAATGAGCTTTTTAATAAATGTCCACATATAATGATTTTTCTATTTCATAGTTAATAAGCAAAGATCAAATTTCTTACAGCAGTGCAACGTAGATTTGGTGAATATTGGAGCAGCCTCGACACAAGATCCACAGCTTCAGCTGGCATTCGCTTGTTAAAAACCTAGAAAATGTAAGGTCATTAGGTTTGGCTGTCATGAAAGTAATGCGCTTATTATCAATAAAGATGAGTCAAAGATGCATCCTCCATGTGGAATTTCTAACAAACCTTGTGCCATGGGTGTGCTTTGATCTGAGGAAATTTGAACTCCGTGTAATTTGGATTCATGCATCTAATTTCTTCTCTGGTTGGTGTCCCCAATATCTATAACAGAAAGAACCACCCAAGAAAATAATAATAATAATAATAAGAGAATGCACCAAACAAATATTAGAATATAAAAGTTTATAAAAATAAATTACTTAGAACCTTAATTATTTCCACCAGCTGATCAACCCCACTTTCTCCAGGAAACAGAGGCTGCACATCAAACCACATTCAATACACATCAGGACCAGCCCCATAGCATGTTCCGAAATAAAAATGAAGTTCAGCAACAACAATCTTATGGTTATACGTGGGTTTATATAACATATATATACTGCTTAGTCCCAAACCCTATAAATTCATCACCAAATTTCAAAATTTCAAAAAAGCACAGTAAAATAAAAATTGTTATAAAGCTACAAAAAGAAATGCAAGGCCAATGCAGAAGAAAAATTATCTTAAAGAATGATATGCAAATGGGTATAATTGAAGAAGCATGGTAGGCATTCATCTAAATGCATATACCAACATTCAGAAAGTGTGAGAATAAATAATCAACAAATAGTAATCAAAACCAATTATTACTAAGCAAATATTTCATTAAAGGGTGCTGTAGTATACTGCATACAAGTCCCTATCCTGATTTCTTGCAAGGTAAAGTGGCATCTTTCACATCAATTTAAAGCTTAATAAAGGTGCTGACTGTCAATGTTCCAGAAAACAATCTCAAATATACACTCACCTGGCCTAGAAGTAGCTCGGCCAAAACACAACCAGCAGACCACATATCAATTGCAGTTGTGTACTCTGTAGCCCCAAATATCAATTCTGGAGCCCTATAATACCGTGAGCAAATATATGATATGTTGGGTTCACCAGGCACCTACAACGGGAAAATAAATTTCAAACATTGCCACACATTAAAAAACATGAAAAATCCATGAATAGAGACATACCAACATCTTTGCACTCCCAAAATCGCACAACTTTAGCTGATGAGTGTGGGGATTAACCTGCAACAAGCATCAAAACCTCAGAAAGGAGCATACAAGGTAGTAGATAGGTACCATGTTAATGAATCGATGTAGTTGTGTTTATAACAAATGACGAGGGATACACATAAACCTAAAACTAACAGAATCTTCAATTTACAAAGAAGGTAACATACATAAATGTACTAATGCTAAAAAAATTGAAAGCAACAATAGTGAAGATAAGGATAACAAACCAAATCAATTTTTGAATGCAAGCATAAAAATGATCATTGAGCGTAGTGTAAACATAAAGTGTCCAACACAGCAACCCATAAAGATATAAACACAACTACATACACTCCAATGAAGTCCCATTTCTCTTGATTCTCTTTTCCAAGAAACATCTTACTAACCCTTCGCAAAAGTAGCATCTTACTGCCATACAGCAAGGGTTATATATTTTACGTATACATAAGAATCAAATATAATCCCTTAGCGAATTTCACATCCAGCATTAAGTGCCAATTTCAAGACTCCCCACCTAAATCACCTGCTCTCCTCCACGACAGTGATCATGGAATAAAATAGCCAAGACAGTCAGATACAAACTACATGTCAATACATTAAAAGAAAACAAGCAACACAAACACATCAAGTGAAGTGGAAAAACAGGTGGAGGATTTAATATTATACAAAATGATTACCTGCTCTTTCACCAGAATATTTTTCCACAAACAATAGCATTAAAGAAAACATAATAGCTGAGATTAAAATAACCCAAATTGATATTAACTGCAACACAAAGGAAAGAAATCTCACCAATAGATTTTGTGGTTTAATATCACGATGACATACACCAATAACAGTGTGTATGTAATTAAGAGCACGGCAAATCTACAAAGAGAAAAAACATAAGTTATAAACCAACCCAAACCCACAACAGAACATAGCTAGAAATTAGAAGACAAAATATGTCTCTATGCAGCCAAAGAGTCTGAGAAACCAAGAGAACAATATGAACAAAAACGGAGTCTCAAATTTCACCTGGTAGGTATACAGTTGTACATAAATGATAGGTACATGTTGGTTCATTCTGCCGTACTGCCTTGAGACTCGGTAGACTGTTTCAGATACATACTCCAAAACAAGATTAAGGTACACCTCATCCTTTTCAGTAGTTGAAAAGAAACAGTGTTTTAGTGGAACAACATTAGGATGGTTTAATATGCGCATAATCTGGAGTTCTCTATTCTTGTATCTCTTATCCTGCAACACCTTCTTTATCGCAACAGCTTCACCAGTTTCCAGGCATTTGGCCTAAAATACATGCACAATAAATGCAAAATAAAAAAACAGCATCAACAGGCAAATGAAAAGAGTTCCCAAACAAGACCTCAACTTCTAAGCAAGCACATGCTAGTTAATTATTAATACCTGAAAGACAACACCAAAAGAACCAGTGCCAACCACACGCTCCGCCATGTATGAGATTGTCTGGGACCAAAGTAAAGATAAAAAATTATAAAAAAAATATATATAGAGAACTTTCAATAGAGTGGTTCCAATTTGTTTTGTTTTCTTTTGGAAATGAGACTAATTTCTAAGGCACCCAGTATATTCCACATATCAGTGATTATTATTATTAATTTTTTTTACAAGTAAAAGTAGAATAGTCCACATCAGTGATTATATTGGGTACAAGTTCAACCTAGCAGCTTTGAGGCTCTGGCATAATTCCAAAGCCCCACACCAACTCAGCCAAACAGTTCAGACAACGGTATCCTAGATGTGAGCAGAAGATTCCAGAGCAAGATAAGAAGCATGCAAAGAGAAGTTGTCATACAACTAATCATTATGTTCAATTGAAAGCCTCTTTGGATTCACATGAGACCAGGGCTTAAGTACCAGCTCCATTAGAGCTGGGGTTGTTTCTGACGGGGAACACACCATTGTGTAGCCCAAAACCATGGCCTAGTACTAATGTGTGTGTTTGGTTTGAGTTTATTGGATTAAGTTTTTTGAAAACTGAATTTTTTATTTTTCGTGTTTTTTTATTTTTAGTAAATATTTTTAAAATTTTAAGCATTTTTTTACTTTTTTAAATGCACTTTACTTAGATGTATCTAAAAAGTAAAAAAATTATGAAAAAATATTTTAAACAATTAATAAATACATAAAAATATAAAAAATATACTGAATTCTCGTATTATTATTATTATTATTATTATTTTTGTATTTTTGGTATTTATTAGTGAATTTTTATTAAAAAAAATTCAAGAAAATTATACTTTTTATGTGTATTTATGTTAGGTGTGTCTAAAAATTAACAAAATTCAGTAAAAACAAAATCAAAAAAACACGAAAGACAAGAAAGCAGAATTTTCTGAAAAGTGTTTTTGGAAAACCAAAAACAAGCAAAGTGAGTAATAATGTAATAATCAATTACCTGTTTCGGTAGTCCATTTCGACCACCCACTGTGGTGGCTATTATTTGACCTGCTTCTGTTCCATTTCCATTAACAACAGTGGCTTCCATATCCTGCACAAAGCAAACAATCAGTGATATAATATCTGTCATATAAAGTTTTTGACCTCATAATATATTTTTCTAAAGAACATTAAAAGTTATGACGAAAAAGTGAATGAATTAAAATGAATTTTTACTTTATCATCATGGTTATCAGCTTTATCATCTCTGATTTTCATTTCATGCATCTCTTTGGGAAGCTCATCATAACCAGATTTTTCAGTTCTAGCAATAGAAGATACATGAGATGAGTTTGCAGCAGTTCTCATAGATGTGGAGACCACGCTTCGCTCTAAACCAGTGGCACATCTTTCAAAGGATTGTGATTCACCAGTACCCTTCCGATCTACTACTTGGTCAACCTTCACTCTCTTTGTGCTAGAATCACCACCCTATAAGAAAATAAATTGATTTTTTATAAAAAGAGTAAAAAGGTGAAGAATTGATAGTTGTGTGAAATAAACATAGGTAACTTGTCCTACTTACAAATGGTAGTATACAGCACATTGATAATATAGAATGTACAAAAAAAAACATAGAGCATTTCAGGCACATCAACACAAGCATCACAACTAGCCCATTGACAAGTCTATGTCGTGAGACAATATGCAATATTTACAGCTTCCTTTTAGTCAATTGTCCAGGTGGTCTGACCGCGCCAGAAGATACTCGGTTTCTACTTCCAAGGAGCTCCAGCATAAATGCTCAAACCAGGCCTTTTTATCTAGGCGCCGAAATTAATTCATCAACTTTCTCAAATCCAGCTCATTCCTATTTTAAAATATGCCTCGACACTTGGGCCTTGTTTGGTTTGTTTTTCAGAAAAAAATTTTGGAAAAATTCTCTACAAACAAATTTTCAAGAGTAATCAAATCAAACAAATATTTTCAAAAAAAATCTCAAAGTTTTGGTTGGTTACCTACTTTTCAAAATCACTCTTTCTCTCATACACATCAAATCAATCACTTTTTTAAAACTCTCTCCCCAAAACAATTTTCCAAAACTATTTCTGAAAAAAGCAAACCAAACAAGTTTTCGTACTTTTTATCTCAAAAACTACTCTACAAACACAAACCAAACACATCCTTGGTCACCATTGACCTATATTACACAAACTCCTCTAAATGCACCCAAGTCAGATTTATGACAAATAGGTAAGCCTAAAAGTAAGAATGTATCTGAAATGACTAGTTGAACATGCAATGATTCGGCATAGTTGTGCAATTGAAGATTGTTAATTGAGTCATTAGAACTTTATTAGAGGCCTTAGTTAATTATATTGTGGTATTTTCTTATTTTTGCAATGTTTTTAGAATTTTATGGACGAAAATTTAGGGTTTAACGTAATTGGTAATTACTTGTTTTGTATTGTCTATAAAATGGCATCTTACTGAAAAATGAAAGAGCGAGAAGGAGAGTTTTAGAGAGAGAAATACAACGAGAAAACATACGAGGAGAAAACGGGGTGGCATTAGTAGATTGCCTTTTTCTTAGCAAATTCATCTCTTTCTCTTCCCGTAGAATGCAGAGAAGAGAGATTGGAGCTATTAGCTCTCTCCCTAATTTTCTTGAAGATGTTTTTTTTAGAGAGAGAAATTTAGGCCTTTGTTTCCAAAACCATAATGAATGTCAAGTATAACATTTGGAAACAAGGTGGAAATTGAATAAAAAATAAAAAAATAAAAATTTCCTCAATATGTTCCATCTCTGATTTCCAACCCTAATTCATTTGAAAGATACATCCTTAAAAAATCAGTTGTCCCTTTCATTTTGATAGTGATCCTATTTGCTCCATTTAGGTTGATTACGCGAACTTTTTTGTAAAAACGTTTGATAAATATTAACACCATAGTGAGGATTTATGTAGTTTTCATGGATTATCTATTAATTATAGAATTTCAATAACTTTTAGTTTTGAAACGTAATGGTTTATGATTGATTAAATATTATTTTTATGTTCAGCTATGTATGAAATATAGATTGGTATTTTTTCTATATTAGTCATAATTTTTTTTTTGTATTATTTTCATTGTTTGTGAATATAAATTAGCAAATAAAAACATATTTTAAAAAAATATTTTTTTATCATTTCAGTCATATTCATGTCTTAATTTTTTCAAAATCAACGTTTACCGTGTTTACGTGTCCTTTGTCTTCATACCGCGTCTCTGTTCGTGCTTTTTAGGAGCCAATCGCCTTGGAGAAATAGATCTTGTGATGTCTATATATATTCATACTATTCGTAATTGTGATACTTGGACCACACAAGCCTTAAAGGTTTTTTTTTTTTTTTTTCCAATCCAATAATGCATTTCAAGAAAGCACCTTATTAAGCTCCAAAACTAATGTGAACAGAGTTAAATAACATTAAAATGGAAAATTACCAAAAACAAATCACAAAAACGAAAAGGAGCGAAAATATGCTATAATCAAACAATTACTCATCACAAAAACCCGATTTCAGAGATCGTAAATCAGATCACACAATAACAAAAACGCATGATATACACATACAACTAAAAATAAATAAATAAATAAATAAAAAGCAAAATAGTGCCTCTCGAAGAAAATGCAGAGGAAAGAAAAGAAAACAAATTATCGAATCAAAAAAGGATTTGGCTTCGCACAGTAAACCAAAAGATTCAAAATTTTACTGCATTTTCTTTCGTTTTCCTCTGTTTTCTCTACATATACGTAGATAGATATATATATATATATATATAGAGAGAGAGAGAGAGAGAGAGAGAGAGAGTTACCGGATCGGAAACCGAAGAGCGGCCGGAAGCAATGCTCTTGAGGCGACGCATGACATTCATTATGGTTTTCAGAACCAAAGCCCTAATTTACCTTTCTCTCTCTAAAAAACGTCTTCAAGAAGAACACGGTGAGAGAGAGAGAGAGAAAGCGCTAAAAGCTCCAATCTCTCACCTCCTCTGCGTTCAACAGGGAGGGAGAGAGAGAGAGATCAATTCGCAACAAAGAAACACACAATCAACCACCACCGCCACCACCACAACCACAACCACCACCAGCTCCGCCTCTCTCTCTCTCTCTAAAACTCTCTCTCTCTCTATATCTGAAAATGAAAGCCTCCAAAATGTCTGTCTCCAAACTCTTGTGTTTCAATTTTTCTACGGTCAAAGTACTTACCCAAAGCCAATCAATCATTCCAACCTCTCGTACCTCAGTCAAACTTCGATTTTCAGCTCTCGATTTATCATCATAGAGATCGGACGGTCAGTATTTGTGACTTACCAAATGTTGAAGAATTTTTTTAGCTTTTATTTGAGTTACCGAAAATACCCCTTCGTTTGTTTCAGTTATGCCAATGGAATATTCGCAATATTCGGTAGTTTTATTCAAAACAAACACCTTGCTTGTTTTCATTTTTCAAAAAATACTTTTCAGAAAATTTTACTTTTTTATTTTTCGTATTTTTTTATTTTTATTAAATTTTTTTAATATTTTAAACAATTTTTTTACTTTTTAGATACATCTAACATAAATACACCTAAAAAGTAAAAAGATTGTAAAAAAATATTTTAAAAATTCACTAAATACCAAAAATATAAAAAAAATATAACAATTCAATGCATATTTTGTATTATTATGTATTTATTAATTTTTTAAAATATTTTTTCATAAATTTTTTACTTTTTAGATACATCTAAGTAAGGTGTATCTAAAAAAGTAAAAAAAAATGTTTAAAATTTTAAAAATATTCACTAAAAACAAAAAAATACAAAAACTATAAAATTCAATTTTCAAAAAACTTAATCCAAAAAACTTAAACCAAATACTGAATTCTTTCACTCGTAATTGTGCCCATGTTTGCTACACCTTATGTGCTTAATAAGCCTCTGTTTGGCAAGTTGATTTTCAGGCTTTTTTGGCTATTTTAGCCACAAAAAACAAAATAGGCTATTTTAGCCATAACAAACAAAACATCATATCCAACCTATAATCATTACATTATTCTCTCACAAAAAAAGTCAAAAAAGCCAAAAAGCCAAAAAGCCCTTCCCAAACAAAAACTTAATCCAAAAAACTTAAACCAAATACTGAATTCTTTCACTCGTAATTGTGCCCATGTTTGCTACACCTTATGTGCTTAATAAATTTGCTATTATTATTTTTTACTTTGTGTTAACATTTGGTGGAATTTTTAATTGTAATAATGTAAAAATAATTTAAATAAGTTAAAAGAGTATAATTATTGAGAAGTATTGTCAACTTTTATAAAAATTAACAAGTTTAAAACTAAGGTTTGATATCTCCTAAAAAAGTTAAAAATTCAAAAAGTCACTATCTTATTTACTATCTTATTTAAATCACATCACCTTTCTACCACATCACTTCAAATTCAACTCATATTTTATAAAAAATAAAAAAATACACTTATTTAGAATATCCCAAACAACTCCTAAATATGACCGTCATATTTAGATTTGTGGGCCTCCTACAAATTTTATTTTGATAATTTAGATTATTTATTTTGTAAAACTTAAAAAAATTAGGTCAATCTGATATTATAATAATTTCATTTTATCAAACTTGCCTCTGAAACGATAAACTATAAGTGTGCTTTAAAGGTTGATTATTTATTTTTAAAGACAAATGTGATAAAATAAAAATAATACGATTGAGAGATATGTAAAATTAACAATTTCAATCATTAAAACAAACATGTGGTGGACCTTTAATATAGGTGATAAGCGAACTAAACAGTTCGAACTCGACTTATTAAAAACTCATTCAAACTCGATTTGTTAAATAAACAAGTCAAACTTAAATATATTTTAGAGCTCGATAAGGCTTTCAAACTAAGCTTATAAGCTTAAAATTATATAGAATATCAAACAACTCAAGCTTAGCTCAATAAAAGCTCGTTTGAAATTGGTTTGAAAGTTTAACGAATCAAATTTAAATAAATTTTAAAACTTGTTAAAGTTATCAAATCAAGTTTGAACAGTTAACTATTTGGCTCATTGGGTTTGTTTATCACCTCCAATCCTCAACAAAAATGCTTTAGAGCTCTAATATAGGAGCTCTAATAGCTCTAATGGAAATGTGGGTCCCACCCTGATGTGATATTTGTACCTTGTTTTGTTTTTTTTTCTTTTTTTTTTAGCTTTGACACATCATTAAAGCTCAAATTAGAGCTCTATATTTAGAGCTCTCTATCATTTCCCAATCCTCAAACATGGCAATCATGTTCAAGTTTGAACATGAAAGAAATCTAACCAAAATTTTAATTATCAACTTTCATTTAAAAAGAAATTGCACCAAATAAGTTTGGATATTGTTCCCATCTTAAAAAAAAAAAGTTTGGATATTGTTGGCATTATATGTATAACTTTTGCCAAGTATAAGTTTTTTTTTTTTTTTTTGAGTTATCTAAAATGTTGATTTATTTATTAAAAATAAGCTTACAAAGTTAAAATAAAAAAAATAATTTGTTCGGTCCCTTCATAAAATTTTAGCATTTTCTAATATGACTTTTTAACGTAAGCAAATTTAATTAAGGCATCATTAGCAAAATTAATTTATTTAACCATTATTTTCATTTGTCATTTTTCAATTGAAATCTTAAGGCCTCGTTTGGGAACCTCCCTTTTAGTCAAAAAGTTACTAAATTAGCCAAAAAATCAACAACTCATACCAAAAAGTCAAAGATTCTCTTTTCTCTCTACTTTTTGCACATCTTTTCGTAAAAAGCCAAAAAGTCATCCCAAACATACTAATTTTTTTTAGCTCATATTTTAACCAAATAGCCAAAAATTATTAAATTAACTTGTTTCCAAACGAGGCCTTTCATCTGGTACCAGCTAAAAAAATCAACTATAGACTAAAAACTTCATTTTGGTAAAAAAGCTTTAAGCCTCTGTTTGGCAAGATGGTTTTCAGGCTTTTTTGGCTATTTTAGCCACAAAAAACAAAATAGGCTATTTTAGCCATAACAAACAAAACATCACATCCAACCTATAATCATTACATTCTTCTCTCACAAAAAAAGTCAAAAAAGCCAAAAAGCCAAAAAGCCCTTCCCAAACCAAGCTTTTTAGCCCAGGCTAAAATAGCCAAAAAAGCCAAAAAGCCAAAAAGCCAACCTACTTTAAAAAAGCTTTAAAGTTATTTGGCATTATTTTCAAAAAAAAAAAAAAAGGAAGAAGAAGAAAAAACTAACTTTTTTTTGAGAACATAAGAAACATTATATTAATAAAATATAATAACAGTACATAATCAAGACTTTAAAGGGTCATCCCAACCAAACAATAAAACAAAAACACAACCAAACAACAAAAAAATAAATCCGTCAAAAAAATAGTTACGACCCAAGGAAAACCACCGATCTACTAAAATATGTGGTATGGAAAATAAGATATGCTGGAAAGCTCGTCGTCCTCGTTGATGTCGTCCCCATCGCTACTACCCAACTCCTAGTAATTCTAAAAGGTTAAAAAAACTAAAAAATAAATAAAAATATTCACAAAAATATTCAATACGCAAAATAAATTATATTTTGATATCAACTTTTTTTTGTTGATTTATTTTTAATCAATATATTAGTTTTTAGCAAAAGCGTCTCCAATCCACTAAACATATATCTGTTAGTTAAAATTCTTAGAGGGTGTTTGGCATTAAATTAATATATTTTTTGACTTTTTATGAAAAATGTGAAATATAAATTGGGTTTGAAATAATGTGATACAGAGGTGATGTGACTCAAATAAAAGCATCTCCAACAGTGAATCAAATTTTTTACCAAATTTGAGTAAAAAAAAGTCAATTTTCTCAATCTGATATGGCTTGCTCCAACTGTGCATCAAAAGAGATGGGTCAATCGGTAAGGGTAATTTTTTTTTTTTTTTACCTGTTTGAACTTTTTTGACCGATTTGAACCTACCTATTTGAAAGGGAACCGATCGACTGGTGGGTCAACCGGCCGGACATCTGGTTGGTTGACCGGTTGGCCCACCCCAATGGTCAAGCACAGTGAAATACTAATATACAGAGCTTGTCATCAGTTTGATAAAATGTTTGTTCCATTCTCATTTTAATATCAAATTGGTGAAACCATTGGAGCTTGAAAAAGTCACTTTTTCATCAAATTTCAAATCTGATGCATGGTTTGATCCACCGTTGGAGATGGTCTAAGATGATTGTGACCCAAATAAGATAATATGCTAAAATAGCATGTCAAACAGTGCTTTATAACTCATCTTTTTCAACTCTAATATACTAGTTATATGATTAGGCATTTTATCTCAACTCACATTCACTAACTTGATTTAGCTAGCCTTCAAAGGTTAGGCAAAATATATTTGAGTCTTATGATTCTTTCATTCCATCTTTGTTAACATTTTATAAACTGAGTCGTATTTAAATGAGTAGTTAAAATAAAGAACATAATTGGTGTGAAATATGAAAAAGTGAATAAACAAAATAATATATATATATGGGTTAGTCTTGTCTTACATTACATGAGGGAATTGTGAAACCCATCACAGATCTTATTTCGATTATTCGAATTGTTTATTTTTTATAATTCATTAAGTAAAATATTCATACAAAAAATAAGATAAAATAATATTGATAACTATATATTTGAACCAAATTTACATTACAAAAATAAGATAGTTATTTTTAAAATTATATTTGTCATCTATTTTGTATAAAATAAATATAATTCAAATATATAACTACTGATATTTAATTATCTTAATATTTTACTCAACAAATTAAAAAATATGAACAATTCAAATTACTAAAATCAATTTCGAAACGAGTTTATTAAACTCAAACAAAAATGACAATTTAAAAAACGTCAAACCCTACGAAAACCCTATAGTAACTTTAAGGTAGATAAAAATAATGGAGATGCTCAAAGAAGCATTGATTGTAATAAAAGAGATGCGTATGAAAGAGATAATTACCCACTAAAGGAGATAAGTCATAAAACATTTTTTCTAATAATTTGACCATTATATTTATAAGAAAAGTTAAATTACACTTTACAGCCTTCAATTTCACAATATTTTGTTTTGTTTTCTTATTTTATGTTTGTAACAATTAATTGTTTTCTTATTTTATGTTTATAACAATTAATTTTTTACCCTTCT